GCAATGCCGGATTTGCATGAATATTCAACGAACTCAAGGTCTGGTTATAATAAGGTTCGCTGGAAAACTCATTACCAGCCGTGAATTGATCCAACAACTTGATCGCCTGCAACCCCAAAGGCAAAGCGCTTAACACCAAAGCAAATCCCAAGGCTGGCAAACGTTTTTGGCTCAGAATCCAATGTAGATAAGCGTACAGCAGTACCGGCAATAACAGAAAATCCCCCACCCCAACCACTAACCACGTTGCCGGTTTATCCGAAGTCAGGAAATAATTTAACCAATCACCCACCACCTGCAATACCAACGGTATCAAGGTAAATAAAGAAATCACACTTAAAGCCGCAGCTATCTCCCAGCGGTGCGCCGACAGAACTCGAAATTACCATGGCTGAAAAAATCTGCACACTCATGCCTTCCATTGAAATGGTACGCATGACCAGTTCGGGTACAGAAGCCACCATGTCGGCCATTCGTTTGGCGCGTGGCTTCACCGGGCGTAATTTTTTGGTCAAGTTTGAAGGCGGTTATCATGGGCACGGTGACTCATTGCTGGTAAAAGCAGGCTCGGGTGCATTGACCTTTGGGCAACCCAGCTCCCCTGGCGTTCCTGCCGAGTTGGCGCAATACACCCTGACACTCGATTACAATGATAGCGCACAAGTGCGCGAAGTGTTTGCTGCACGTGGGCATGAAATTGCTTGCATCATCGTTGAGCCAGTGTCTGGCAATATGAATTGCATTCCACCTGTACCCGGTTTTTTAGAAACGTTGCGTGATGTTTGCGACCAATCGGGCGCGGTGCTGATTTTTGATGAAGTCATGACAGGTTTCCGAGTGGCCTTGGGCGGGGCGCAAGCGCTCTATAACATCAAGCCAGATTTAACGACTTTGGGCAAAATCATTGGTGGCGGGATGCCAGTGGGCGCGTTTGGTGGCAGGCGTGACATGATGGAACATCTGTCTCCCTTGGGGGCGGTGTATCAAGCAGGAACGTTATCGGGCAATCCGATTGCGATGACCG